GTCTAATGTTTGTTTACTGTAAATATTTTGTGCATTATTATTTCTTTTTTAGTCTTGATACTGAAAATCTTTCATTTTCCCTTAACTGTACTTCAGAGTTCTTCCGTTTTGAAAATAAGTTTGAGGTATGTAAAATTAAGAAAAAAATGCCAGGATGCTAACACTCTAATGCCAAACACGTTCTTTCTGTGCCTTTTTGATATTCATAATAAAAATCAGACTTTCTGTTCACAGAAAACAGTTAAATGTTTGTCTCTCCTGTGTTCAAAAAGCTTGTTAGATTAAACCAACACACATACAGTATGTGATCAATCACATCAATTAATTGACTTCGTCAAATACACACATTTTCAGAGTCTTGCTTTTACACACCAGTTAGCTTCCACGCTTTTGGATTTTCAACATTTATATTAATAGTAAATATGTTAGCATCCACGTTTTTACACTGCATTTATCAAAAACAGTTTTATTTTCTAGATTGAAAAGCTCACATGTGGAGATCGCCTGCCTGCCTACATGACAAATCTTGTTATGATCCTGTTAATGGTGAGTAAAGTTAGACTTACTGCATAATGCACAAAATCTAAGCTTTGTGGAAAAGCCTTTGAAATCTATTACCTTTGTTTTTCACGTTGTGTTTTTTTCTATAATCCTTCACTGTCAGATCGGCGTAACGTTTGCCATTGTGTTTGGTGTGATCTTGTACCGAATCTCCACCAAAGCTGCTCTTCACATGAGTTCTAGTCAAATCTCCAGAAACCACATACAGCTGACAGTAAAAACCACCGCTGCCATCATCAACCTGGTGGTCATCCTCATTCTGGATGAAGTCTACGGAGCTGTGGCCCGATGGCTCACTGTTCTGGGTAAGAGAAACAAAGTGAGGAGAAAGCTGTAGAACTTCCAACATATAGATGGTTTACATCAACAAACTGACATCTGGTTCACTTGATGTGTCAAACTGCAGCTTCTTAGTGATGCACGTACAGTTATAATGAGTTTAATCAAGTTTACAAACGTTTCCAGCTATTCATACTTTAATTCTCTCACACACTAAAAATATGTGAGTTAAAAAAATCAAACATGTGTTACCTATAGATTTTGTTATCATGAAATGAAATAAATTGAATAAACTGTGAACCCTGGCAAATATATGCAACAAATTAAAGACAAACAGGATAAAGCACAAACAAGTAAAAAGGTTAAGCAAACAGGAATAAAACATGAATATTATAGTCATTAAGAGACACTATATAAACAGGTGAAGCCACATCGCTGTGTTGCTCCATTCAGCTTAGGCCTGAGTCACACTACAAGATTTTAAAGCAGTCGGCTGATTTTCAAAGACTGATAGAGCCCACACATGAGGATAAAAAATCATGGATCTACCAGGTTTGGTCCTACAGTGAGTGGTGAACAGCCGCACGGCAAGAGACAACACACCACACACAAAAAAATATTTCAGTCATGAACATTCAGATGTCAGATGTTAAATCATGTGAGACTTCCTGAAATCTCGCGAGAATTCAGATGTCCGAGGAAAAATCTCACGTGACCTCCAGAGAGACGTGAGTTCAGAGTAAATAAACATTTGCAACAAGAAAGAAACAATGTTGATTGTTTGTGGACTATTTTTACCAGAGGAAAAACAATTCCATAGGACTTTTAACATCCAACAGACTTTCTGCTGAGTCATGACAGTTTATTTGTCTTCTGTATTTGTTTATGTCACCTCGCTTTCTGATTGGCTACACGTCTCATTCATCAGTCTGAGAGCTCGGGTGAACACTACACACACTATGATATCGGGCCAAAAAGTCAAACATGTTGAATATCCCAGACTGGAGGTCGGAGCGGTCCCGACGTCTTTCCGAGCCGACTAGATCACTCTTAACTCACCACCCACGGCAGGAAGATCTGCTATGATTATCTTTAGACCCATCACGATAATCTGGACTTCCTTAAGATTGTCGGAAGGGCAAAAATCGGCATGATTTTCTTGTAGTGTGACGCTGACCCTATTCTAATAATCTGTTTGTTTTGACACGAGACAGAAATGATCCAGCCTCACTGACCAACATTTTTAAGGACTTCTGCAGATCTGTCTGCAGATTTCCCATAGAACAGAGATGTGAATGTTTTTAACTCCTTTTTATCAGAAGAGAGAACGAGTGAAGCAGGCTACACCTTCGTCAAAAAGAGCATTTCATATTTTTCATGATTTCTGACAGCAATAAAGACATAAAGCAACTGGAAGGAGCGGGAAGTGTTTATAGGCACCGAAGCCTCCATGCCTGGTCTGTTTTCTGTTTCTACTTGTGAAAGGGTTAATGACTGTTTAAACAGTAATAACTAAAAAAAAAACTGATTTTATCCTCTGGTTTTGTTTCTTGTTATATAATGACTGTATGAATTAAAACCAAATAATACAAAGGGTGTAAATGCATTTATATGTATATAAAAATTCAGAATTCTGGTTTCAAAGTGAAGGAAAATGAAGTAAATAGTTCAGAAACAATATTTAGATGAGAAGGTTAATGAGCTATCTACACTTCTTCCTGTTTATCTGTTTGTCATCTACTAAAGTCAAGTTCTTTTTTCATAATAACTTAAATGAATAAAATACAGATAACATAAAAAGTATTTGTTTTTAGAGGTGCCAAAGACTGAGAAAAGTTTTGAAGAACGGCTCATCTTTAAGACCTTCGTTCTCAAGTTTGTAAATGCGTTCACCCCCATCATCTACATCGCTTTCTTCAGAGGAAGGTTTGTCTCATCTTCATCAGTTTGGGTTTTGAAGCACAACCTGACTGTGATGGACTAAATCATAACTGGGTCAGAATGAATACGTTCTCTGTAACTGGATATGAAATGGGTTTATGTGATTGGACAATGAAAATACCTGTTGGCATTTAATCCTGCTAAAATGATAAGCGTTTTAGTTTAAAATGCTGTTTTTATGCCGGCCCGTTTTACTCCAACATCACTCAGGAGGGTGCTTTCTGATGTTCTCACTCTTATAATGCCAAAACATTCAACTGCTTTTGTTCTGAAAAGATATATAACGATTTGAAAAAGTATAATTGGATTCAGTGCAGTTCTAAGCTAAATGTTTTTTAAATCACCAACCAACCCCATTATATCTGAATTTACACTGTTTAAATAAAACATATAATAAACATACAGTATATATAGTAGTACAGTCATTAATGTATATTACTGGATTGGGCGTCACGTGACCTGGGCGTGGCTTCACAAGGGAGATTTTTATGCATTGAGCTAACGCTAACCATTGAAATCAATGAGAAGAACGTAGCACAGTGAAAACAAATGCTTTATAAATGTACAAATGGTTCAAATACTTTGCTATAAACTACACAGAGTGTTACAACACATTTACAAGAGCCTAAAGGGTTATGTTTCACAGGTAAATATTATACATATTTAACCAAAATTAATTATTTTAATCGTAAAACCTGTATGCTAACATTAAAAAGCTTCAATGTTCATGTTTAACTTTATTTAAAATCGATTTTATCTGTTGTCAAATATATAGTTTACTGACATTAAACATTTAAAATATGGACTTTATTGGATTGTTGACTAGTTAGACTGCATAATAATTCAGAAATTATGACGTAGACTCACTAATTACAGACAGTAAAAATTTAATGGTTGAGCACCATAAACATAAATAGTCACTTTGTCAGACAGGTTTATTCAGATATTTTCTACATCCAGTATTTGTGTGTTGTTGTTTTACATTTCCAGAAAAAAAAGTAGAAAGAAAACGTGTGCCAGCTGTGGGTCAGCTTCAGATACAGCCTGCATCATTGTGAAACTGAAGAATAATTCTTTGTGATAAAAATAAATTAATTAAACAATTCTTTGTGACCTGAACTATATATTTTTTGTTTTTTACTGATGTTAAAATTATTGTAGTTCACAACAAAATATTTTGTAAAGTTAAACTGACAGTACAAATACATATATTGTATTGTGTACATTTGCATTTCTATAGTTGTTTTATTGAAATATTTGTTAAACACACACACACACACACACACACACACACACACA